TACAAGTTTCTTTGTCATTAACATTATATTAGGTAAAAGTTTCTGATAAAAAGTTGCCATGATTGGTGGAAATTTACTAGCCTTAGGCTAGTTGACTGCAGGAATTTCAAACATGGTATACATACACCGTACATGTATTAATTTCAAGTTTAACATAAAGTTTTAAATAGTTATTTTTTCTCCTACATTTTTTGAAAATTTTTTTATCATATCTTTAGAGAATAAAGTCTGTGTTCATATTAATATTAATAGTGTAAGTGTGATGGCCACTAATGGGTATGATTGCACCATACTACACCTGTGTAGAATATTTACACCTTATAATCAAGTGAAATTGGGTGTAGTGTAGCATATTCAATATGGAGGTCAAAATTTCAACTAGCTGAGGGGATCCTATTTGCAGAAGATTTTTTTTAAAAATATTGTTGCAATTGTGAAATTTAAAAAAAAAATTCATTTAAAAACTAAACATTTTAATCAAGTGCGCCCAAAATTAATCTTGTAGCGCTATCGTAATGAAAGTTTTGTAAAAGTTTGTTTTAAATTGTCTTCCAATTGATTATCTCACAGAACCTGAGGAGAAAGATGTCAAGTTCAAGGCTGAGGACATTTACAATAACCGCTTCCTGCCCGATGACGACGACACTGACGAAGAGGATGATGATGAGTCGTCTCCCTTTGAGAGAATGATTAAAAAGATGACAGACATCTCCCCCAATAATGATGGCATGGTGTACAAAAAAATCATGCAGCAGGGAAGTGGGAATTTCGTACCAGAGGGAGCCATTGTCAGAAGTGAGAGCTTTAGTCTGAATCCCATTCAATAATTTATTATTATTTTATCGTCCCCCACTTGAAAAGTGGGGATATTAATTTGGGTCTGTCCGTCCGTCTGTCAGTCTGTCCGTCCGTCTTTCTATCTGTCTGTAACGCTTTCGTTTCCACACGACATCTCGATAACCCTTTGAGCTTTCGCAATGAAATTTTGCATAGCAACTTCCTATGGAGTAAAGAAGAACCCTATTGATTTTTAGGTCAAAAGTTCAAAGGTCAAGGTCATAAATTTGCAAATTCTGTCTGTTATAACACTTTCGTTTCCACGCGATATCTCGAGAACCATTTGAGCTTTTGCAATGAAATTTTACAGAACAACTCCCAAAGGCCTAAGGAAGACCCCTATTGATTTTGAGGTCAAAAGGTCAAAGTTCAAGGTCGTAAATTTATACATTCTGTCTGTGTGTAACACTTTCGTTTCCAAGCGATTTTTGAAGAAGATTTTGAACTTTTGCAATGTAATTCTCTACCAAAACTCCCTAGGACCTCTCTCACCCCCTCAAAGTGTCCCGCCCCGTTGTTTTATTAGTATTGTATTACATGTCACTATTTTTAGCACAGGGGCATGAGAAAAGTTATTACGTATAAAACAGGTTTTCGGCGGACTTCATATTCTTATTACATCTATCAGAACTGTTTGACAAAGGCTTAATTAGACACCATGCATTGTGTAAAATTTTGACAATATCGAATGAAATATATACATGTATCTGAGTTCATGTTTGCATATAATTTTCGCCAATGTATAGCGGTTCCTTGGTCTAGTTGTAAGTCTCTCGCTCCAAATGTGAGAGGTCCCGGGTTCGATTCCCGGAAGATCCATTTTCTTTTTTTTCCGAAATACTTTTTTTTACTAAATGATAGTATTCAGCATGTGAAATGAAAAATTTATGAGGTCTGGCTTGTACAAACTTATAAGATCATCATTACCGTGTGATAAATATTCCACATAGTAAAGAATAAGCAATCAAATCTTTATATCCACATTGGCATATTTTATTTGCTTCGGTATACATGTATACATTTAATAATTCTACAAATTCAGTCAGGGGGATCCAACCCCCCCCCCTCCCCCCGAACTGTGCATGGTTTACTTTTTTCCGAAGCGGGGGACACAAATTCTCTGAATTAGCTTGTTTAAATAGTAAGAAATGTAAGATCATGATGAAAACACATGAGTTGATTCATTATTATGTCTTGGAATTCATTTTACAGCTGAGTAAATTGCTATAGAACTCTACAGATGTCCTATAGTAATATGTCTGTCTGTCAGATATCAATTTTCCGGATCACATTTTCTTTATTTCCCAATCTGGCTCTTTCTTTACCTACATAGCACCCATGGCCTATGGGTAGTTGGTGTGCAGTGACTTTAATACTTATAAGTAAAAGGTCAATTAAAAAAAAAACAGGGCATACTTTCTCTCCCTTTGCTCGTACTTTATCCCTAGAGTGACCATTGGTAGTTGTTGTGGAATGACCTATTATTGTTTGGTCAGAGGTCATTCATAACAGATTTCTGAGAAAAATCCCTCTCCAAAATGTATTCTCCCTTCTCTTTACTGAAGTTTACTCTTCTGTTTGCCCTGTTTGAATCATAATCATACTTCATTTTTGGGAAGTGCCTTTGAGTAAAACAGTGACATTAAACTACTGGTATTTTTTTTTTAATCAAATGTCAAGGCCATAACAGAACAGTGGAAAATCATTGTCCAAAGCATACAATCTCCCTGGCCCCTACCTCACCCAAAGTTTGCCATTGGGTAAGATGTAAATCCAAGGTCAAGCTCAGATTTCAGTCCTGCATATGTCTGTTTCACCCTAATGTCCTATGACAAAAGAAAAAGATAAAAGAAGGGAACTGTGAGATGGGCAACCATCTCACTTAAATTCCAATTTTTGTAAAAAAAAAATTAGATAGGAAAAAATAGTTGGATAATAATGAAAAAAATGCATTTTTAACATTTTCTGCCTTTTATATTCGATGATACTGTATGCATTGTGAATTTATTTACATAGTCCATTACAATGCTTTTCTGGAATTTGGAGACGAACCATTTGATTCCACACGATTGAGAAACTGCCCTCAGAAAGTCAAGTTACAAACAGGTAATGATCAACAGTTTATAATGTACATCACATTAAAGCATGATGTTCTTCTTAAATTAATAAAGCTTTTTTATCCTCTTTTTTTCCGTAAGTATGATGAATAATATGTATGAAAGATTATTGTAAGACTTCTTTTCCAAAGTATATTTTCTTTAACTACTATGTGATTGTCTTTGTCGACAAGCTACAACATGACATTCTTTCTTCAAGTATGATTTTGCAGTGTAATTGTTACTCAGAAACTTCTAGAGAAATTGGGACTCCAATTAAAAAGTAAAAAAGAACTTTTTTCCTGATCATTATGTTTATACAACAGGTGGTATGATTCTTGGTCTGGACTGGGCGGTGTCTACCATGAAGAAGGGGGAGCTGGCTCGTATCATCATCAGACCGCAGTACGCTTACGGAGAAATGGGAACACCCCCCAGGATACCTAAAGATGCCACAGGTGAGACAAGTGATTATTACCTGATTGTTCTATAAAAAAAAAAACCTGTACTATTTAGGAATGTACATTTATATTTGTATGTGCAGGACTCAAATATTAGATAACAAATTATCCACATTTAAAGAGAATGCAGGCATTTCATATTAGCAATGAATCAATATTTTTCGTAGAAGCAATGAATCATTATTTTTTGAAATAGTCTCGTAACTGCAACGATGTGTGCAAACAAGTTGAGTAAAGCATGTTGGTCAAGTATTTATACTTGTATGATTCACTGTATGTAGTTCTCTGTGGTTTAATATGACTTAATGTTACATTTTGATGATACTTTCTATTATATAAGTGTTTTATAATTAATATTTATAGCGAGCGCAGCGAGCGTCGCGAAGCGACGCTCGCGAAGCGAGCTCAATAGACTAACGTGTAAGAACAGAGGAAATTCGGATTGAAATCTGTACATACGTCAGCCAAATTTCTCTGTGCAACATTCCCAGAATTCCTGCACTACCCAATGTCCTTTGCGCGAATATTGCCGAATAAATAAATAAATAATAACGTAAAGCATATATCAGACTTTCAGTTTGTAGAAATCTTTCAAAGAAACAAGAAATAACTCTGCAATGTTTTTCGACAAAAATTGCACTAGTTCTATAGTTTCAAACAGACGCTCGGCTGTCTCCGTAAGCTCCGACGAGCTTTGTGACGTCGTATGACGTCACAGCTAGTCGAGATATCTCGTGTGGCTTGACGTTCGAAGTGGCTGATCTCAAGTGTTTTTGATGGTACAAATGCGCTCGCCCCAACGGTCACACCGTAAAACATATTATGCAGGACTGTTTAAGAATTCTCTTTGGTTGAAGTCATAATTTTTGGTATGCGTATAATATTAACATGTATATTTTATAAACTGCTTCAAAGAGAGTAAACTGATTTGTTACTTGATAGTGATGTATGAAGTGGAGCTGCTGAACTATGTAGAACATGGTGGAGTGGATGACATAGAACTATTGTCTGAGGTTACTACACTACCCCTTCAAAGGAGAGGGGGTTTACTGTGTTACGCTTGTGTGTCTGTTGATTTTAGAACACTCTTTTTTTAGCTCACCTCAACGAAGTTTGGGGAGCTTATGTAATACCCTCGGCGTCGGCGTCCCGGGTTAAGGTTAAGTTTTTTGGAGCAGTTTTCTTTTTTAAGTACTTCTATGTCCTATATTGATTAGACATGCATGGAAGATGTTTCTAGTGTGTTTTATTGTACCAGTCAAAGTTTCAGATGCTGCAATTTCAGCAAAGGAATGACCAGGTTAATGTTTTTGGAGTAGGTTAGCATTTTTGGTGCAGTTTTTGGTGTAGGTCTCATTTCCGAGTAACTAAAAGCCCTATGTTGACCAAACTTGCATGGATGGTACATCTTAGGATGCACACTACCAGGCTTGCTTCGGATGCTGAATCTGACCTACATTTTCCGGTTGAGTGAAAGTGAAAGTTTTTGGTGCAGGTTTCATTTCCAAGGCACTATGAGCGCTATAATGACCAAACTTGCATGGATGATACATCTTAGGATGCACACTACCAGGCTTGCTTTGGATGCTGAATCTGACCTACATTTTCTGGATGAGTGAACAGGTTAAAGTTTTTGGTGCAGGATTCATTTCCAAGTAACTTTGAGCCCTTTAATGACCAAACTTGCATGGATGGTACATTAAAGGGTACATTCTACTAGGCTGGCTTCGGATGCTAAATTTGACCTACTTTTTCTGGATTAATGAAAAGGTTAAATTTTTATGCAGGTTTCATTTCTAAGTAACTTATAATGAACCCTATGTTGTGCAAACTCGCATGGATGATACATCTTAGGATGCACACTACTGGACTTGCTCCGGATGCTGACATACATTTTCCAGATAATAGACCAGGTAAAAGTTATGGGTGCATGTCTATTACCAAGAAACTACAAGGCTTATATAAACCAAACTTGCCCAAATGATGCATCAAGGGATGAAATTTCTCAAACTTGCTTCAGATGCTGGATTTTAATCACATTTTCATGATGAAGAACTAGTTTGAAGTATTTATAAAGGTCTATTCCAACGTATCACATCAAAATTGCATAAATTTTGCATTTTTGGATGTACACTTTTTGTTGGTTAATTGTGTGACTTTGCCTTATTTAAGACAACATTCGTTGAGGTGAGCTCTGTAATCTCTGATTACCTATGTTTAGGAATGCCATATGTGGAATTCATTTTTGTACAAATCTGATGTCAAATTTCCTATTAAGCTGTGCATACCAATATCCTGGTAACTTACTACTCGAGGCAGATGCTTGAAATTTTAGCACTGTCTTGGTAGGCATGCTATATGTTGGGAATCATTTTTGTATAAATTGCCTGTTCCATTTACATCAGAGTGGGGTTATTACTGGTTTGCATTGACTCACAGACTTCATGTTGTATAAATGATACAGAGCAATTAATGAATTATTTGAGGTAATTGATTTAAAAATAAAAATGCTGTGAAAAATTTATGAGAAACAGTTATTTTGTAAATCAGAAAAAAATTGGCTGTGTAATTTTTTTTGAAGAATAGACCATGCCATAAAATATTGTGAATATATATTGTAGGAGGAAAGACAGCAGATTCCTTTTGATGATTTACTGAAAGCCTGTAAATCTTACAAACAGGTGAGTAATAATAATACTGATTCACTGAAAGCCTGTAAATCTTACAAACAGGCAAGTATTAAATAATAACATTGATTTACTAAGGGCTTATAAATCTTACAAACAGGTGAGTAATAATAATACTGATTTACTGAAAGCCTGAAAATCTTACTACAAAAAGTGAGTAATAATAATACTGATTTACTGAAAGCCTGTAAGTCTTTACAAACAAGTGAGTAATAATAATACTGATTTACTGAAAGCCTGTAAATCTTACAAAAAGTGAGTAGACTTTATTTTTTGATTGCATGATCAGTTGATTACCTAATATTGCAGAATATTCTCTTACATTTATTTCAAAATCCCACTTTCCCCAAAAGTTGTCAAACTTATCTAAAACCTACACATTTTATTGACATGATTAAATTTTGTAAGAATTTTATTGCATGGCAATAACTATTTTAAAAAAAAAAGTGTCAGAATATGTACATTGAAATAAATAGTTTCACAAAACAGAGTTCTTGAAATCTTTTTTTCACTGTCAGTCATTTGGACCGACTGCCAAGTGTAGTTTGTCAGTCCAGACAGATTTCTACCAGTCCAAAATAAATTCAATAAAAACATGAAAATTGTATTTTAATATCAATAAACACGGCGTCTATAAACAATGCACACTTCTTACCCTAGCGCCGTCAACAAACTTGTTTTAACAGTTTACCAATCAGAGTTACTGTAATAGTTTGGCACTAGTTAGAATAATCTGTATCTCGGAAATAATTGCAGAATCGCTCCCAAACGAATTTGAAGTATACAAAAGGATTTGCACTGGAAATAACTTCAAAATTAATTACAACAAACCTTATTTAGGTCGCGTATGCCTTTAAACGTAAAAATTGATCTAAATAAAGACGATAATACAACTAATTTTCTTTACGTTTTTTCTCGCTTCGGAACTCTCTGGAATCTTCGTAGAAAATTTAATGTACTGAGTTCGAGTTATTGCCCGTGTTTATTTTGCTACATAGTGAATATACGGAACAAATTCTATCATTAAAACGGGTCCGTAGGACATTTATCATTTTAAGGATAGAACATTCTCTCTAAATTGGCACTTGTATTAATCGAGAAGCCATTGCAAGATGCAGAAAAGCTTTTGAAAGATTACGATCGGTCGATTTAGTAAGATTTTCGCAAGTTCCTCTGTCAACACCGTCCGGTCATTTGGACTGACACAGAACGCAAAGTAATCGGTCCTTGGCTCTTTTTATCGGTTTTGCCGACAGGACCGAAAGATTTCAAGAACTCTGCAAAACATCCAAAATCCCCTTCAAGTTTGTTAATTCAGAGTAAATTATAAATACACCAGTACCTAGGATTGTGAAGCCAATAGAAAAAGCTTATTAAGAAGATACGGTAGTTTTGATGGATATATATCTACATCACTAGTACATGTAGTACATGGATATTTTTTGATTTGTTCAGAAGATTATATTTTTTAGAAATTCTTTTTTTTCCCACAGGAAGCAAAACTACAGTTTGCTAGTTCAAGTTTCAGAAGAGCTGCTATGTATTACAATAAGGTAAATTACAGAAGCGTAAAATACGTTTTCTTACAACACTTGAAACAAACAAAACCTGTGAAATTGTTTACTTTAAAAACTTCCTTGCTGAAAACTGATGGCAACCATTAAATAGACATTGACAGAATTTTAAATAACTTTTGGGAAAAACAAATAAAATAGGGGAGAAAAATCCTGTAAAAATTTGCACCCATCTTGTGTGAAGTTGACTTGCATTATTTTACCAATTGTTTGAATTAAATTTTTACCCAATGTTGACAAAGTCAAGATGAGTTTGTGATGTGCTTCCTATTATTAGTCATGGGATAGGTAGATTCCTATAAAATAATAAAGACTTTACAGGAAAAAAAAATACATGAATGATGCATTAGGGGACCTGCTTTGGATGATGAGTCTGATCTTATATTTTCAAATGAGTAAAAAGGTGTTGAATTTTTGTAAAAAGCCCCTTTACAAGTAAACATAAGATTTATCCTGCATAAACTTGCATGGATAATATATCTAGAGATGTTCACTACCACACTTGCTTCATATGCTTTATTAGACATGTACTTCATTTGACAGACATTTTTCTGATTATTACCAGTTTAAACATTATAATAAAATAATTGCCATTCCAAAGTAACAATACGTCCTTCTCAGACCAAAACAAACGCATTTAGAGAACCACTCTACCAGAAAATTCATTTGATGTGAGACATGTCTTATTTGTTGATTACACTCAAAGAGGTCATCTTTGATTTCTTACACATGTACATGTATTTCTATTGGTGATTAATCTATGAAAATGATAATCGTTTAGTACTCTGGGACTTCTTAATTTTGCATGAAAATGTATAAACCTGGTTGTAGGCTGTTAGAATGCTAGAGAGGGCCCTGTATGTTATATTGTGTTATACATGGTTGTAGACTGTTATATTAAGTTATACATGGTTGTAGACTGTTATATTAAGTTATACATGGTTGTAGGCTGTTATAGTGTTATACATGGTTGTAGGCTGTTATATTGTGTTATACATGGTTGTAGGCTATTATATTGAGTTATACATGGTTGTAGGCTGTTATATTGTGTTATACATGGTTGTAGGCTGTTAGAATGCTGGAGAGGGCCCATCTTAAAGATGAGGAGGAAGAAGACAAGCATCAGAAGCTACTGCTCCAGCTCTACCTGAACCTGGCTACATGTTGTACCAAAATGGCGGAACCCAAACGCTGCATCAAGTGGTGCAAGAAGGCCCTGGAGATTTGTCATGGAGACAAAACAGCAAAGATCAAAGCCCTCTACCATTATGGCAAGGTAAAGTGACACACCCCCCCTCCAAAGACCAAAGCTCTGTACCATTACGGCAAGGTAAACTGACACCCCCTCCAAAATCAAAGCCCTGTACCATTACGGCAAGGTAAAGTGACACCCCCCTCCAATCAAAGTACTCAGAAGTACAGATAGCCGGGCTCATTTACAGAGTAGAATGGATTTTTTACATGAATCACGTTTATATTCTGATGAAAAAATTATTTTAAAACTATCAATATAAATGATAAGACACTGACAGTGAGCTTTTCAATCCTAATACCACGGTCCGATTTTGTCAGAATCAGAATTAATCTGGTACAAACAGGCCAGTCTGGTATCCCTCTGTGTGCTTTACCTCGTATGTGTAGAGAACTACGGTAACACTGATTATCAAAAATCCTTATGCTAATGAACTGTGTTCTTTGACTTATGAAGTTTTCAAAGTCATTACTACTAATGTTTATTTTGTATAGATAAAACCTCATTTTATTTTTGTTGCTTTATTTACCGTTTGTGTTATCTCAAAAGCGGTTGAGAGTAAGAACTATATTTTTGCAAGTAACTTTAAAATGGCGACTATGGGGTTAACATCCTGCCTTGAACAGAGTGTACTTGACCAATTAAAGCCTAGCTTTCAGTACTTTCAGTACTTTAATTAACGTTAGGAAATAGCACTTGAGGGGATTGTCGGCAATTGGTCTTTGAGCAATAAGCCCGGCTAAAAATCAAAGCCCTGTATCATTACGGCAAGGTAAAGTGCCCCCCCCCCCTCCAAAGATCAAAGCCCTGTATCATTATGGCAAGGTAAAGTGACACCCCCCTCCTCCAAAGATCAAAGCCCTGTATCATTAAGGCAAGGTAAAGTGACACCCCCCTCCTCCAAAGATCAAAGCCCTGTATCATTAAGGCAAGGTAAAGTGACACCCCCCCCCCCAACCTCCAAAGATCAAAGCCCTGTATCATTATGGCAAGGTAAAGAGAGAGACCAGCAAAGATCAAAGCCTGCACCATTACTGCAAGGTAAAGTGCCCCCCCCCTGCAGGATGACTTCTGTAATTGCAGATGTTTGGCAATTTAAAAAAAATCACAGTTCTAATAATATTTATAGAACTTCAATATAAATTTTTTAACCATGTTTTACTTAGAAAAAATCTGATGATTGAAATGAGTAAAATGACAGGTTGGCAAGTAGGAGGATGACTGCCAAAAACGTACATCATTTGTCCGGTTAATATCTCATAGGGTTAAGATAGGTCATAAAAAAGATCCTAAGAATGTGCCATTATCCTGATACAAGGTCACTGTAACAAGTTCAAGGGCACTGTTAGAAAAAAAGAGATAAATTTATAACAAGTCAACAATTTTCCTATGGAGAACTGTTGTCCAGATTTTACTCAAGGCCAGACTAGATGATGCCGCTTACTCACAGCGCCTCTAAAGTGTAACCCAACCCCCAACCCCCCTTGAACAGAGTGTACTCGACCAATTAAAGCCCAGCTTTCAGTACTTTCAGTACTTTAATTGACGTTAGGAAATAGCATTGGGTGAGGGGATTGTTAATGTCTTTTCCTTTATTTTGAAGTGGTTACTAAATGCTTTCTTGTTACAGGCCCTCCACAACCAGTCCTATTTTGATCAGGCTGAGGAGAAACTTAAACAAGCCCAGAGACTGAACAGTGGAAACGCATCTGTCAATAGCGAACTAGCTGCTCTGGAGAGGTACGGTGAAATATCCTAAATCTAGGTTCTAATGTTAACTTAATTGTACTGATAGTAATGTCATAGTTTGTTTTTGGAAGAATACTTACTACTACATTGATTATTGGGGTGAATACAGTAGTTATCTTAGTGAAATTTTGAAGCAAGATCTATTTTCAAACATATACAGTTCATATTTCATGTAGATGTATTTTATTAACAGATCTAGACAGAAATTTAGGATGGTGGAGAGAGAGACCTGTAGAAGGATGTTTTCCCAGCCCAAGGGAATCACTGATGACGGTACGGCTTTTATCTACATCTCATCAGAAAAACTGTTTCTGTCAGAGTGAATGTTTGCATGGAAAACATTTTTTTGCTTTTATTGCTCAAAAATTAGGGATACTTTATTAGTCTACATAGTCCTCAGATATTAAAAAAATTACCACCAAACTTCAAATATTAAATCTTCAGAGAAAGATAAAGAGAACAAGAGGCATCAGGAAGCGGAGGAGAGGTGTATGGAAGTGTCGGAAAAATTCCGCCAAGATGCCATCAGATATCTCAGGTGTGTGAATCTTGATTACATGAAGTAGACAAATGCATGTTCTTTATAGTACATGATTCTTTTTTGAAAACTTTTTTTCAAAATAAGGGTTTATTTGTTAATGAGTAAAACTTGTTGTTTTTCAAGTGACTTTAAAAATGACCCTGACAAAACAGAGATTCCATTCACGTCCTTTAAGCTGACATTTGGGGAGATAGCGTGTATGGTAGAGGAAGCTGACAGATTGGGTCTCAAAGCTGTGGAAGTGGGCAGTGTAAGTATGACCATCATACAAATAATCTAGGGAAGTCGGACTATCATATACATCAGCAGTGTAAGTATTGTAAATAAGATAGGGAAGTCAGACTATTATATACCTCAGCAATGTAAGTAATATAAATAATGTAGGGAAGTCGGACTATCACGTACCTCAGCAGTGTAAGTATTATAAATAATGTAGGGAAGTCAGACTATCACGTACCTCAGCAGTGTAAGTATTATAAATAATGTAGGGAAGTCGGACTATTATATACATCAGCAGTGTAAGTATTGTAAATAATCTAGGGAAGTCGGACTATCATATACATCAGCAGTGTAAGTACTATAAATAATGTAGGGAAGTCGGACTATCATATACATCAGCAGTGTAAGTATTGTAAATAATCTAGGGAAGTCGGACTATCATATACATCAGCAGTGTAAGTATTGTAAATAATCTAGGGAAGTCGGACTATTATATACATCAGCAGTGTAAGTATTATAAATAATGTAGGGAAGTCGGACTATCACATACCTCAGCAGTGTAAGTATTATAAATAATGTAGGGAAGTCGGACTATCACGTACCTCAGCAGTGTAAGTATTGTAAATAATGTAGGGAAGTCGGACTATCACGTACCTCAGCAGTGTAAGTATTATAAATAATGTAGGGAAGTCGGACTATCATATACATCAGCAGTGTAAGTATTATAAATAATGTAGGGAAGTTGGACTATCACATACCTCAGCAGTGTAAGTATTATAAATAATGTAGGGAAGTCGGACTATCATATACATCAGCAGTGTAAGTACTATAAATAATGTAGGGAAGTCGGACTATCATATACATCAGCCTCAGCAGTGTAAGTTTTATAAATAATGTAGGGAAGTCGGACTATCACATACCTCAGCAGTGTAAGTATTATAAATAATGTAGGGAAGTTGGACTCTCATATAACTCAGCAGTGTAAGTATTATAAATAATGTAGGGAAGTCGGACTATCACGTACCTCAGCAGTGTAAGTATTGTAAATAATGTAGGGAAGTTGGACTATCACATACCTCAGCAGTGTAAGTATTATAAATAATGTAGGGAAGTCGGACTATCACGTACCTCAGCAGTATAAGTTTTATAAATAATGTAGGGAAGTCGGACTATCACGTACCTCAGCAGTGTAAGTTTTATAAATAATGTAGGGAAGTCGGACTATCACATACCTCAGCAGTGTAAGTATTATAAATAATGTAGGGAAGTCGGACTATCACTTACCTCAGCAGTGTAAGTATTATAAATAATGTAGGGAAGTCGGACTATCACCTCAGCAGTGTAAGTTTTATAAATAGTACCTCAGCAGTGTAAGTATTATAAATAATGTAGGGAAGTCGGACTATCACATACCTCAGCAGTGTAAGTATTATAAATAATGTAGGGAAGTTGGACTATCACGTACCTCAGCAGTGTAAGTATTATAAATAATGTAGGGAAGTTGGACTATCACGTACCTCAGCAGTGTAAGTATTGTAAATAATGTAGGGAAGTCGGCACTAAGTCACGTACTCAGCAGTGTAAGTTTTATAAATAATGTAGGGAAGTCGGACTATCACGTACCTCAGCAGTGTAAGTATTATAAATAATGTAGGGAAGTTGGACTATCACGTACCTCAGCAGTGTAAGTATTATAAATAATGTAGGGAAGTTGGACTCTCATATAGCTCAGCAGTGTAAGTATTATAAATAATGTAGGGAAGTCGGACTATCACATACCTCAGCAGTGTAAGTATTATAAATAATGTAGGGAAGTTGGACTCTCATATAACTCAGCAGTGTAAGTATTATAAATAATGTAGGGAAGTCAGACTATCACATACCTCAGCAGTGTAAGTTTTATAAATAATGTAGGGAAGTCGGACTATCACGTACCTCAGCAGTGTAAGTATTATAAATAATGTAGGGAAGTTGGACTCTCATATAGCTCAGCAGTGTAAGTATTATAAATAATGTAGGGAAGTCGGACTATCACATACCTCAGCAGTGTAAGTTTTATAAATAATGTAGGGAAGTCGGACTATTATATACCTCAGCAGTGTAAGTATTATAAATAATGTAGGGAAGATGGACTATCACATACCTCAGCAGTGTAAGTATTATAAATAATGTAGGGAAGTCGGACCATCACGTACCTCAGCAGTGTAAGTATTATAAATAATGTAGGGAAGTCGGACTATCACATACCTCAGCAGTGTAAGTTTTATAAATAATGTAGGGAAGTCGGACTATCACGTACCTCTGCAGTGTAAGTATTATAAATAATGTAGGGAAGTTGGACTCTCATATAACTCAGCAGTGTAAGTATTATAAATAATGTAGGGAAGTCGGACTATCACATAACTCAGCAGTGTAAGTATTATAAATAATGTAGGGAAGTCGGACTGTCACATACCTCAGCAGTATAAGTATTATAAATAATGTAGGGAAGTTGGACTCTCATATACCTCAGCATTGTAAGTATTATAAATAATGTAGGGAAGTCGGACTATCAGTAAGTTTTTAATGTAGGGAAGTTATATACCTCAGCAGTGTAAGTATTATAAATAATGTAGGGAAGTTGGATTATAAATAATGTAGGGAAGTTGGACCTCAGCATTGTAAGTATTATAAATAATGTAGGGAAGTCGGACTATTATATACCTCAGCAGACCTCAGCAGTGTAGGTATTATAAATAACGTAGGGAAGTTGGACTATTATATACCTCAGCAGTGTAAGTATTATAAATAATGTAGGGAAGTCGGACCATCACGTACCTCAGCAGTGTAAGTATTATAAATAATGTAGGGAAGTCGGACTATCACATACCTCAGCAGTGTAAGTATTATAAATAATGTAGGGAAGTCGGACTATCATATTCCTCAGCAGTGTAAGTATGACAATCATACAAATAATTTAGGGACTATCTTATACATCGCTAGTATAAGTATTATATAAGGGAGTCTTACCATAATATAAGTAATAAGGATTTACCTGGGCTCTGGCTTCAAGTCCAGTAGCTGATCACCATGTCCGTGAGGAGATTCATTGATACCTTGATATCTGATCCACCTATCTCTGGCGATATATTTCTTTTTTTTCATTGCAGGGACAGAACTCAAAAATCAAAATAGTGAAGAGGAGAAGTCAGGATAATTACTGATAAACTTACTGATGGAACATACCACAATGTGTTCAATACTCATACAGACAGAAATCTGGTCGAAGGATGACTTTGACTGATTCAATGGTTATATGTATCATTCAGTACCATTAATGGCAGAGTAGCCATTGTTTTGTATTGAATTTGGAATGTTTGACTTTTGACCCCCGTTAAGTTTTTATTTGTTTATGGTTGTGTAAACTTGTGCAGCTACTGGTATTTCTGTCATTCTTTGACTCTAGATAATAATATTGGCTGAACAGAACAAATTCTTGGAACATTGAGTATTACTTCACAGGAATCTTCAGCCATTTAATTATTTGGGAATTTTATTTTACTTTGTTAGATCAACACTATTTGTACTTTTAGTAGCTTTATTACCTGTAGATAATTTGTACCAGTTTTAGATATGTATATTTACTGAATCTTATTCTAGTTTCTGGGATTTTCATTGTGTGGTTGTACATGTACCATTCTGAACAGATCTGAAAGAATGTAGATTAAAGGTTAACGTAAATTTAGTTTTAAAAAAGAAACAAGAACTAAAAGAAGGAGAAATATAACAAAGTTTTTGAGTTGCTATTTACTTTTAAAAATGTAACATTTCTTTCAGATATGATGCAATGTAGTCATGAAGGGAAAAAATTAAAAGGCTTATGCAGGTTTAGGTTCAATTACCTTTAAGAACATCTAGTTTTCAAAAAGAAACAAAAAACATGAATGAGGTGAAAGGGAAAAAATTCTTTGGAAAATCAGTAGCATATTGTATCTCTAGTCATTATAAAAATTGTATTGTTAAAGTGTTTATTTGTCAAATTACTTGTCTATGACAGATCTGTTTTTACCTGTCAAAGTTTCTGAAACCCAGGTAGGGTGGTTTTGGTTACATTTTCATTAATCCTTTGCATTTTTGATATAATTGCAAAAGGTAGCAAAACCTTATAAATGTGTTCTTGATACAGAAATTTTGATATTTTTATTATCATTTTATTAATAAATTCAATTTTTTTGTATGTTAATTTTTTTTGTGTTTCGAATATTTTGTTTTGCTGTTTTCAAGGCAGCATAGTGTACATATACGTTCAAATCATAGTTTTTCAAATGATATTCCTTGTATTTATTTACATCAGTGCGTTTGATATATATATATATATATATATATATATATATATATATATATATATATATATATGTCCAGATGGTGACGCCAAAGTCCGATGGTCTCGCCAAACCCCGATGGTCTGCGCCAAACCCCGATGGTTCGCTGTCTTTACGGACGCCAAAGTCCGATGGTCACGCCAAAATCCGATGGCTCGTTTCCTATGAGACACGTTGCGCTAAAGTCGATGGTCTGATACGCCAAAACATTTATGACGTCACAGAAGTCCAAGATTATGACGTTGTCCGGTTGTGTATTTTATTGATTTTACTTATTGTTTTCACTTAATTAGGGTTAATCCTGAATTTAAGTTTATTGGATTGATTTTTTTTTTCTTTTTTGGAGGGTGAAATAAAACGAATAAACATTTTTCCGATAATCAAATCAAGATGTGTTTGTTTAATATTTATTTGTAATATCTTACACTTGATGCTCCCCAGTATGGCACCACAGGAAAGATTTGGCGTGACCATCGGACTTTGGAAACTTTGGAGTCCTACATATATATATATATATATATATATATATATATATATATATATATTTTTTTTTTTTTTTTTTTTTTAATTTGTCCAGACATAGACTTGTCAAAGAGATTATGCTGCCTTTCCTGAATTTGTTTAGAGGGTGAAATAAAACCCAAAGTGTGTTTGTGAGGGTTTTTTCTCAAATTAAATATATTGGTACAAGAAATACATTTGAGAAATATGAAGTCATTAGTATCGTCTCTCCAAAAGTTATGGCTAATGATAAAGGTTTTGGAAAGGTAAGTCCAAGGGTCAAAGTTCTTGTTATCAAATGAAAGGTCTTGTAACAAAGATTAAATATGTGAAGCGGAAAAGCCGTAGCCCTAATCCTTCAAAAATTATGGTCAAAGTTATGGTCAAGGTCTTTTTAAAAAGTAGGTTAATCTCCAAGATCAAAGGGTCATAGTTGGTATCCAATGAAAGGTATTGCCACAAAGAATACATATATGAAGTATGAAAGTCCTAGCACCAACCATTCAAAAGTTATGGCTGAAGTAAAAGTTTGGAAGAAATACGCACTCGATTCCGGCGTACATTTTGCAACCATTTAATTGAATATAAATGACAATTTGACCATAAATTCTTTGTTTAATACAAAGAATAGTTCAATAAAAATTGATGAATTGTCTTGATACCAGTGCTAAATACTAGTAGTAAATTATCCAGCTCCAGCTTGCCCAACTCCAGCTCTTGAAAAAAGGGTACGTGGTAGACGATATTTCCCATGGAAATCGGACTTTCAAGCATCACCTTATTTTGAAATAGTCTTGGGTGTGATTAAATGTTCCTTATACCTTTTCTTATGTTTTAGGCAAATAAATAAAACATAAATATATTAATAAATATAACGTTTCAGTTTTAAATCGCTTTGAAATTGGTGGAAAATAAGCATTTTTGTCGTTTTTTGCCAATAAGCATATGTTTCCCCCCGTGAAACACAAAAAGCTTTGGTATGAATTTGTGAAATAACAGTCCATATTACCTGTAAAAAGGATTTTTTGTGTCATGGGGGGGGGGGAATGTTTTAGAAATGTTTTTCGTTATTTCTATAGTGAAAAACACAAGTTTTACCAAAATTTTAGATTTATCTCTCTTTGTTTTCCCAAATAAGTAATGTTTTATGAAAATCCATGTAATTATCTGTAAAATATATTTTAAAATAATCGAATTTGTTAACTTTTGAAAATTGACTTAGAGGTAGGCGGGAGAACAATACTATCGTTCGCAGTTCTTTTTGGTGTTAAAGTGTGACAAACTACAAGGTACCGTAATTTCTTCTTTGTGGTACCCATAAAAAGGAATACATGGAAATATGAAAGTCATAGCTCCACTAAATCAAAAGTTATTGCGGTCAGACAGACGGACACGACAAAAACTATATACCCTTGAATCTTCGATTACGGGGGCAAAAAAAATTCCTTTTGTTTTTTTTATTACTTGTAGTAGTCAATTGCTCAAGGTGTTTTTTTCCGCAGTAGAGCCCTTCTTGTTTGGGACTTTCCATCTTTTCGCTTGCCAAGGGTTTCTGATATGCTACTCTCCTCATAAACCCTTGGCTTATATATAGATTGTAAAAAAGTTGGGGTTTTTTCCCTCAAGTTTTGATTGGAGTGGATTGACATCGATCGACCAATCAGCAATTTTTTTTTTGTAAATAACGATATCTGCGCACGGGATATGACAAGCCATTGTGCTATTAATTCGGAAAATGAAATTTTCTTAAAATTACCAAGATATCTCTCATATTTGAGAGATATCTCTCATCTTTAAGAGAAAAATCTCAACTTAAAGATATCTCTCTAAGACAGAGATATCTCATATACTTAGAGATATATCTCTTTCACTTAGTGAGATATCTTTTTTTTCCTAAGAGAGATAACTTTTCCACTAAAACAGATATCTCTTTCTCCTTGAGAGATATCTCCTTCGTGGAAAGAGATATCTCTGAACGTTACAGAGATATTTATTTCACTGAGAGAGATATCTTTTTCACTCTGGGAGATATCTTTCTAAATTTTAGAGATATCTCACAAAGTAAAAGAGGTATCTCTCTAACTTTGTCTTAAGAGATGTCTCTCAAAGTAATAGTGATATCTATCAAGCAAAAGGAGTAATATCTTCAATTTCAAAAGATATCTCTCTTCATTATCTTTATTTAATTGAATTGCGTTTTAATGACTTCTCCCTTTACCGGAAGTAAGCATTTTTTAAGGAATCACTGTCTAGTTAGGAGGGTATGTCAGGGACATCAACAATAGTGGGAAACATGGGATAATTTAAGCATAACGGGCGAAGCCCGTTATGCTTAAATTATCCCATGTTTCCCACTATTGTTGATGTCCCTGACATACCCTCCTAACTAGACAGTGATTCCTTATATTTCCATTTCATTGTGAAATAAAATTGTAGATTTAGACTTTAAAAATGTAGATAAATAGATTTAAATCACATGATGACTTCCATGCCAGTTTCAATAGTTCTCGCCAACCGACGTCAAACACAAAGGCAGCTGCACGAGATTTACATGCATATTTGGCCTCCTTAGCGTCAGACACAGAGACAGATGCGCACGAGAATTGCATGCGTATTAGGCCTCCTTAGCTCCCGACCTATCGACCTGCCTAATTTACATTCCGGCAGAATTATCAAGAAATAATTAACTACCCCTAACTTTCAAAGAGTTATCACAGAGAAAAAAATTAGAAATGGAAATATTACTCAAGGAAGTACTTTAAAGTATACGAAAATTCGACGTATTTCTATTATAACTATTCTATTTCTATTTCTACATTTTAACTTTACTAAACATGACAAGTAATTCATTGTATTGATGTCTAGATTTCAAATTAGTAATTATAGTTTATTAATTATTTCATAAGCTGAAAAAAATCGGTCCATTGCATATGAGTTAGATTTTATGTTTTCTTTCCCGAATATCAACATTTTAGCATGTTTATCAACGAAATTGTCATCTTTTTGTTGTTTCAAACCAAGGATTTAGCATTTTTGTTTACACAGTACATATATTATTCTGTGTATGACATGCTAAGTCTTTTTTCTCATAACAGCAAAATTTTTCCAGAGACTTTACTTTCTGTCTCGCTATCGTATACAAGGGGGGTATTAATTAAACTTTAGTCCATTATCATTAATTTAGCTAATATTTGAAAAATTGTTCAAGTCTTTGATTGTGTTAAAAAGTATAATTTTTTATTATTCTAAAATAATTTTGAGAGGAAGAAAAGAAGATATTTTCATACGCCGCCATTCCGCCCTTTAATGTTCTTTTTTAGCTCACCTGAGCCGAAGGCTCAAGTGAGCTTTTCTGATCACATTGTGTCCGTCGTCCGTCCGTCCGTCCGTCTGTCCGTCCGTAAACTTTTCACATTTTCGACTTCTTCTCAAGAACCACTGGGCCAATTTTGAGCAAACTTGGTACAAAACATTCTTGGGTGAAGGGGAATTTAAATTGTTAAAATGAAGGGCCAAATCCCTTAACAAGGGGAGATAATCAAGAAAAGACAAAAATAGGGTGGGTTTATTAAAAAATCTTCTTCTCAAGAACCACTGGGCCAGAAAAGCTGAAACTTATGTGGAAGCATCCTGGGGTAGTGTAGATTCTAAATTGTACAAATCATGACCCCCGGGGGTTGGGCGGGGCCACAATGGGGAATCCAAGTTTTACATAGAAATATATAGGAAAAATCTTTAAAAATCTTCTTCTCAAGAACCACTGGGCCAGGAAAGCTGAAACTTATGTGGAAGCATCCTGGGGTAGTGTAGATTCTAAATTGTTCAAATCATGACCCCTGGGGGTAGGGCGGGGCCACAATGGGGAATCCAAGTTTTACATAGAAATATATAGGAAAAAACTTTAAAAATCTTCTTCTCAAGAACCACTGGGCCAGAAAAGCTGAAACTTATGTGGAAGCATCCTGGGGTAGTGTAGATTCTAAATTGTACAAATCATGACCCCCGGGAATTGGGCGGGGCCACAACGGGGAATCCAAGTTTTACATAGAAATATATAGGAAAAATTTTCTTCTTAATAACCACTGGGCCAGAAAAGCTGAAACTTATGTGGAAGCATCCTGGGGGTAGTGTAGATTCTAAATTGTACAAATCATGACACCCGGGGGTAGGGCGGGGCCACAATGGGGAATCCAAGTTTTACATAGAAATATATAGGAAAATTCTTCTTCTTAATAACCACTGGGCCAGAAAAGCTGAAGCTTATGTGGAAGCATCCTGGGGTAGTGTAAATTCTAAATTGTACAAATCATGACCCGAGGGGGGGGGGGGGTAGGGCGGGGCCACAATGGGGAATCAAAGTTTTACATAGAAATATATTGGACAATCTTTGTTAAGCTGAAACTTATGTGGAAGCATCCTGGGGTAGTGTAGATTTCAAATTGTCTAAATTATGATCAGTGGGGTAGGGTGGGGTCACAATATGTATTACAAGGGGGAAATCTAGTAAAGAACAGAATGGTCAAAGCTTCTCAGGTGAGCGATGTGGCCCATGGGCCTCTTGTTTAACATCCTTTTATAGTGTAAGATTTTTAGGTCACCTGAGCTGAAAGCTCAAATGAGCTTTTCTGATCACCCATTGTCCGTCGTCCGTCCGTCTGTTAACTTTTCACATTTTCAACTTCTCAAGAATCACTGTCCAATTTTCTTACACATAACATACAATATGATATTACTCATCATAAATTATAATTTGAGCGAAATGTCTGCTGTAGTACTTGTATAATTTGCGGGAAAAAACACTTTCTTATATAATCTTATAGTCATTCTTTTTGGATGGTAGATTTTCACTGAACGTGGCATGTACTCTGGAGTCATTATAATTTACGTGTAGTATAAATGAGTTTCTCTGTTGTAGTTTTCACTCAGTAAAACCACAGTCGGTTCCCTTAACGCTCCATCGAACAAAGAAACTATGTCCACATCATTTTAAAACTTTTATTGAGTTTATTTATCAAAAAATTATAATCAAGAAAAATGTATGTAGTATAAACATCTACATATACAGAGGTACACAAAAACTTTTATTGAGTTTATTTATCAAGAACATTATAATCAAGAAAAATGTATGTAGAATAAACATCTACATATACAGAGGTACACAAAACGTATATACACAGAGACATCTTTCTCCCTTCAGTCGGTGGGGGACTGTATACAAAATAACGTTCGATGAAAGTTTGGATTTCTTTCAAAAATTCATTGTAGAATTATCCAGGGATGAAACTTGAAAAATGAGTTGTGCAAGTCAAATTTTTAATGCTTCGTGTATATATTCATATTCAGAAATAAATTTAAAAATTGAATATTTTAAAAGGTTCTTCAAATTCAGAGCCTTTACGTGAAAGAGGTACATTCAATTAAAAAAACATATTTGAGAAAATAAGAGACTAAATTTGGACTCGATCTTCCGAGTTTCATCCCACTAGGACTTGCAGAAAATTTTAAGAAACATAAAATAACAAAACTACTTTGCACCAAATTACACATACTACTCTTTTGTAATTCAAAGTTCAATTCTTGCGTCGTATAGATTTCATAAAGGGAAAAATCAGTATACATTTGTAAACATAATTTTTTGTAACTGAATTAATAATTATGCCTCTCACTGGTATCATTTATAGACATTCAGGGTTCGTCCCATTTCTAGATGCTGAGAGTGAAATCCGCCGAATGATAATGGCGCTCTGCTATGACGATATGACCGCGGCCTAGAAAAAAAAGAACCTAAATGTAAAATAAAAATATGATTTCCTCTACATAATAAAATATTTTTTTAGCAATAAAATAAGATTACGATGTCTTCCTCTCTGTTGTTTCTGCACGCAGTGTATATTGTGTCGTTTTCTACAATTCATTGAATTCTATAATTGCAGAAACGGACACAATAAGCATCACGTGATATATTGCTGGCACGTCACAAAATCGTCTCCTATAGTAAGAATGCAAGAAAATCAAGATTCCAGTTAGAGTGATAAATGATTAATCATGCAAAAGTTAAAGAAAAAAGAAAGAAAATTTAAGTGATTATGCATGCTGTTAGATGAGATAATATTAAACATACCCTACCGTCGATCAGAAGCCTTGCTGGGTGGTTCCTCTGCTGACATTGGGGGCAGTATTTGACTCTGTGATCTCCTGAACACTCCACTGTTGTCTGTTCCTGCACCACGAGCGTCAGACTGGCCGCTTATCCCGTAAATCTCGGCAAGCTGCTTCCCGCTGCATTTGGGTGTTGGGGTGGGAACGGTTACGTTGAATTTTTCGAAGTTTGCTCTCCATTGCCCATTATCATTGTCAAAATCGACCATGTTAACAAAGCGACTACCCCAAAGGATATCCCTCGAAGAATAGGAAGTCCTGGCTTGACAAATTTCGCCTGTTGCTTCAATTGTCCCTTCTAAGATGATAATGATTTCAAACGTGTTGGACAACATTTGATCAAATGTCAACTCATACAATGGACTATGTTCGTTAATCTTGTGTCTTAAAATGACTGGCCACATCATGAAGACGCGGTCCTGCATCTCATGCGCCTCAAACTCCATCTGTTGTTGGTACAAAGGGTAGACAACTCCCTCCTTCGAGACTTTCTCACTGACGAAGATTCCAAACGATGAAGTGTCCACAAGGTGAGACTTTCGCATGTCTCCCACTCTTAGTTCCAGGCAAAGTTCCCCATTCTCTTTGCAGATGCAAACTTTTTCACTGAACATAAGAGTGTGTCGTCTGTGTTTGGGTCGAGATAGTTTCACCAACAAGAAGCCGACCAGCAGAGTTTCCAGGAGAAAGCCGACGGTGATCTGAACAAAAACCAGAAGCACACTGCCGCTACAGGACGTGTTGGGGTAAAATGTCCCATACCCGATTGTCGTTTGTGTCTCAATGGAGAATAGTATTAGGTCTGCGAATGTTTTCGCCCTCTCTACACAAGGAATCCAGTTGGGATTGTTCAGGTTATCAAAGTCACCGTGTGCTTTTGCCAAGATAAACCAAATCAGCGCAAATATAAAATAAACAACAAGAAATGTGAGCACAAAAACTAAAATCGCCCAGCGCCATTTTAGATCTATCAAAGTTTGAAATAAGTCTAAGACGAACGACCGGCGCTCGGAATGGGACAGCCCTTTGTAGGTTACGCGGTATTTCCCGGTTTTCTTTACCAGAGCCGGCCGCCCGAGTTGGTAGCCTTTCCTCAGCTTCGTGATGAGGGATGTGTCATCTCCAGAAGACGAGGGAAATTCCACGAGCTGCTCCGCGTCGTCTGACTTCTTTTTGTTTAATTGTAGGTTAGAAAGGGACTTCAACATGTTGATTTGTAGAATAAGAAGGGTGTTTTCCTTAGACGTTTTAAAGACGTCCTTCCACGGCAAATTCTAGCTCATAATTGAGTTCTCAATTGCCTTGCCAAAATATCTATTTAATGTCTTTCTGGACAGAGGTAAGATTACTGCATATCAGCCAATCAGATTGCAGAGGGATTGTCTCAAGTCCCCAGAAAGACAAATGTCCTTAATCGGCTATCGATGATTATTCTGACAGATGAATTATGATCGAATTTGATGGACGATCAGAGCATGTCTTGAGGAATGCGATGGCACAGCCATTGTTTCTGGGCTGCCTCCGGGCACTGTTGTAAGGCATTGCTGAGGGCCACCTTAGACTTGTAATGGACGTATCACCTTGTGTACGAAATAAAAAAACACGATTACACGAAAATGGTGTTACCTTGATATACAGTTTACAAGATTTAAAACATAATCATATAAACAAGGATATGAACTTCAAAAATATTATTTTTAAATTTAACCATAAACTGATGATGCAGAGGAAAACGAACAATGTTACTTTTTTCAGAAGGAGTCGCCCTATGTTTGACTTTGTCTGTTTACTATATATTTTAGATTTAATGTTTAAAGTCGTTAACTTTGTTTTCTGTTGACAGTCACACAATTATTATTCAACATCAGTAAAAATGAAGTATTTCTTTATTCATCTTTTTCACCTGTACCCGAAGTATTAATCAATGGACCCATTCTATACCTGTCTGTCTCTGTTTGTCTGTTTTTCCGTTTTCGATGTTACATAGTGTTCATTATAATTTCTGCATATTTTTTATAAAGAACTTTATGTTGATTTCTTGAATTAGAATCTAATCTAATTAAACTTAAATGAGCTATTTGTATGGTCCATAAGAGATCGGATCGTGTATTTTGATTAAAAAAAAAGATCGTCATCTGGGAACAAAAAGAGGAGGCAGTGGCGGATCCAGAGGGGGGTTACGGGTGTTGCAACCCCCCCCCCCTTTGGATTTGCAAAAAAGAAAGAGAAATAAGAAAGTTCCAATTTTTTGTTGTGTTTTTACTATAGAAAATGTAAGATGAAAGGCTAATGTTGTAATATATAAAGAAATTTGGTTGTAAAAACAAAATAAAACCCCATCCATTTACAAAATAGGATTTTCAGGTTCGGAGATTTATTTTTCTTTCTTTTTCAAAGACTTTCTGGTAATGTATACAAGTATTTTTTCCCAGATTGATCAACGTCCCACTTTCAAAAACCATACTCCACCCTGTATCGATATTCTATTGAGTTATTTAACTATATGTATGTGTACAACGTACGTTTTAACTGTTTTCGCCTTCAAACCCCCCTTTTGAAAAATACTTCAAACCCCCCCCCCCATTTGAAAAAATTCTGGATCCGCGCCTGGGAGGATGGGGTTTCACAAGTAAAAGTTATGTTTAAAATCACTGTATTAAGATAAACGAGTGTGACAAATATATTTACATATTACTTGATGAAAACAAATGGTTTGAACTTTTACTGACTTATTATGGCTTCAAAATTTTATATTTATTCTTGCGCTTAACAGTTCTGACGACATTTAAATTTATTACATTCCTACCTCTGAGTCTCTGCATATTGGCTAAGATCTAATAATGTAGAAATGATTCTAGGATATGTGCATCCGATAACCATAATATTTTTTTTCTACAATGGACTAAACTTCTTAATATAAAGTTATTTCATCTCTTGCATCTGACTTCTAGGTGAACATAACATTTATTTTTTTCTACATCGGACCTCGGACAAAAAAAAAAGATCGAGTTTGTAGTTTTACGAATATTTCCAATTTTTACTTCTCTTAAATGTGCTGCTGATAAAGACCTCGAAGGAAACTAATTGTTTTACAGCCATATGGAAAAAAGTCTTTTCAGACTTTAATAATAATATTTGAAATCTAAGACATAAATTCATGCTTGCTAAAAAAGTTTGTTTAGGCCATCTTTAAAAATTGTTTGTCCTCTCTCGACCAACTGAGTAAGAATGGCCTGACTCAATTTTTTTTTTAACATTCCAAGACAGGATACGATATTTTTTTCATTTCATTTCTCTGACCCCGTCAACAAATATGTTGAAATTGATTTCCCCTGCTATACCTACCGACCCAATACTTTTACCCTGAGTCGGAAGAGGGAAAACAAACATTTTAAAGATGACCATAGTTCCATCTGCATTTTTGTGTTTCAAAGTTAAACACGAATTCTTAGAACAATGATTTTCAAAAAATGGCCCTATTTGTTCATAAAATATTTTTTTGACTTCTCCATAAAGATTTATTTCCCATTTCAAGAACGTGGCAGTTAAAACTTTCGTCGGATTACGTTATACGTCAACGTTTAAGTAACTTTCTATATTTTCGTGACAGTTTCTTTGATTTCACAAATAAGATAAAACATAAAACCTGAATTTGTCGCCGAAAGCTGGACAAGACGGATGATAGAGGTAGAATCAATCGGTATCAATATGTCAACCGGCCATTAATTATGGACGTCGTAAAAAATACATCCATGGTGCTTTTTATGGCGTGTTTTGGCCAGGATTCCTGCAAGTCACGTGGTGCGGAATCTCCGTTTGCGGCAGACGATGCCGCCAGCTTGCGGCGAAATTCGCCGTTTTATTGGAATATTATCGATGGACAGGTGGATTGATTATTGGTCCCTGAGCACCTGAACAACAATCAATACTGACTTTTTGTAGGCATAGTAACAAAAATTGTAAAGGTTCTAAACTCGTATATATAAAGATGACCTACCGGTATTTATTAAGAATCATCTACGTCATGCAGGTTTTGCACATATAGCGTCTTCTTTTAAAAAACGATAAAAAATGTAAAATTCATTATGTTACACATAGAGTTCAATTATTGTTTGTAAATATATTTATGGATTGCGCTTTCACAACCAGAGAGAGAAAAAGAGAGAGTTTTGTGTTTTGCAGTTCTTCTAATATTCTTAAGGTACATGTATGTGAAAAGTGGAGTGGGACTTAGAAACATTAAACTTTGAATAAAATTTCTTTAATTCCATGACAGTAAAATAAAGAAATATAATAAGGACCTTGGGTGGCTTAAATATCCATAGAAGGAATGCGTGTATAAGCTTACACAGTTGATTACCTTCTTAAAGAAATATATTAACTAAAATTAATCTTACCAGGATTAGATTCGATATAATTATATTCTTTTTTTTAAATTAAAAAGTATTCTATATTTTTGAGAGTCTCACTCGAAATGCCGGTGATGGATATGTAAAATGAAGCCATTTCTATGCACGAAGTCCTTGATGTTGCCTTTTTGTGACTGGACGTATTGTGTATTTTTTGTGAACCTGCATACATTAGGTAATCTAATGACAGGTCGCTATGATTAATAATAAGACCCTCATTCTAATGGTCAATCTCTCACATCCATCACCCAGGCCATAAACTGACCAATATTGTCAGCGAGATTTTCGCGCCATCGTGGATGACCATGCGTCTTTTGTAGAAGAACTTAACGCTTTGATGTGGTCATATACAATGCTCTTTTTAAAGTCACCTAAAATGTGTTAACAAACTCTACAACTTATGTAGGACTATTAATGTCGCACCATGTGTGTTTTCGGACTGTCAAAGAGTACGGAATGCTACTTAATTCGTTTTTTCGTACTTAAAGTTTTTGTTTTAATGTCCAATATTAACATTGTTTTATGATATTTCTGAGGCCCTGAGCAATACAATGTAATTTTATGAATCAGAGATAATATTGGCCAATAATGAACACAATTATTTATTAATTCAGTGAGTAATAACTGGAGACATTATGAATGACCCCAGTCTTAGTCACGTGCTATTACTACAAATCTGTGTGTCTTGATAAAGCAAATCCACGTATATTAAATTATCCTAAATATGGGTGAAAAAAAGTTGTAGATTATTTTACATGTAAAGCTTTAGAATCAGAGATACTGGATACATTGAAATGCCATTTGTTAACAATACATGCATGTTGCAGAAAGTAAAAGCTAAACGATAAGATTACCAAGTGTCCAGTTTTTATTAGCTTGTTGTAATTTTATTAATATTATTAACATTTACAGTCTTCTTTTTGACTGAAAACGAACTAAGGCAAAATTATTGATAAATAATAATTTGGTCTGGGAATCGTTTAATTTATTTCAATGTCAAAAAGAAACATTGTGCCACACATTGCACGCAAGGTGTGCATGCGTTTTACAACAATTTAATGTTGATAGATTTTGTAATTCAGGTAAGTTAATCTCATTCATTCAGAGATCAATGTTTCAGGCTAATTGATTAATGGTCAATCGGTTTATTTTATCTTGTCATCGGTAAGTACAAGACACTGAAACTAATGGAGTTGCTAACGCTTAGCTTGACAGATTTTTCGCGAGTCCCGTAACATGTAATGATGCGTTGTGCCCCTAAGGACACCGAAAATACTTGTTTATTTTTTTTTTGATTGTGATTTATTGGTAATTAAACTAATCAATGAGAAAATAAACCATTAATTATAATGTCAAACTCAGACCACCAAGTTCTAAATAGAAGTAAGAAACTTCGCCATTGTAATTTTACTTTGAAACAGTAACGATGTCCACAACAGAGAAAGTCGAAGAGAAGCTCAGCAAGTTGCCGTTCGTGAATTATGTCAAACAAAGATTTAACCTGGGTGAATACAACCCCGAAGACAAACGCAGAGCAATCGTACAGAAATCTGGGCATTACAGAGTGAAATATACGGGACTGAAAGAATATCGTGCCAAGTTCCTCCAAGATCTCTACATCACTCTCATAGATCTAAAATGGCGGTACGCACTTGCCGTGCTTTTCAACGTTCATCTTTTATCTTATTTCTTTTTTGCCATTATGTGGTACTGGATGATGTTCAATCATGGAGACTTCGACCACATCAACGACCCGAAGTGGGAATCCTGTGTCGCCGGCGTCAACAGCTTCGCCGACGCCATGTTGTTCTCCATAGAATCCCAGACGACAATCGGGTACGGCTTTGCCTATCCTAACACAGACTGCGGTGGCGCTCTCCCTCTGCTTTTTGTACAGATCACGGTTGGCATATTTCTAGAAAATGTTCTACTTGGTTTTATTTTTGTAAAATTTGCCCAGCCCAAGCGTCGTCGGAAGACCATCATGTTCAGCAAATTTGCTTGTGTCTCACAAGAGGAAGGAGATCTTTGTCTACAAGTAAGTTTTCTTGATGATTCTTAACAGAGCTTTTTATATAAAT